TGAACTGAACAGAAATATAAATGAATATATTTTTTGCCTTTCACTAGACCCGGTATAACCATTATCTTGAAAATGCGAAGTGGTAATGATTGAACAATGTAGAAATATGGAGATAACACATTTCCGAGCATCAATAAAGAAGCAGATAAAACACTATCACAAATCAGTTGCGTAAAATTAAGCTTCGAACTATCAACAGCTTAATTAGCTGACTGATTAATGCAAATGGTAAAAAGTTTCGCATGGGTTTTTTTCCAGAAGATCAATGCCAAGGTTTTCTTGCGAACATTTATAATATACATCCCAAATGTATACTACTATGCATTACTGCACTATATGATAGCGATTCTAAAATGTCAGTATTACTGAAATGCGCAAACAAATGAAAAGAAAAGTTTCAAATGATTTTAGAATTTAAAACACCTTTTTTAGTGCAACCATTGAGGATAGCGGTTGTTCGGGACGGGCAATACTGTAAAGACGCAGTAGTACATCATCTAGTGCCTTATCCTCTTGCACAGCAAATGGCGAAACTGGTTGTTTTGAACGGATTGGTTCAGCATCAAATGTGGCAAAAACCTGTAAAAAAGCAACAAAAATTTTTCACAGATATTGGGCTTAAAACCGATTTGAAATCATTTTTGGAACTGGATTTCAAATTGAAGTGAATAAAAATAAAGAAAAAGTGGAAATAATAAATCAGGTTATTAATATGATTTCTTGAAATGTCGTCCATGTTGAAACTTAACATTGCCAATTAGATATCGGATACAAATGTATTTTTATTTTATCAGCAGGTATTTATTAATCGGTGATGGTAATATCTGCATGTTATGAATGAAAACAAATAATTAATATGATATCAAATAGTTGGTACTAAATATAATGCATACTTGATACAAATGTCCAATAAGTGCCAATCGTATAGCATATTGCTCATTCTCTGAACCACGTGGAAACGTAACAAGTCCTTCTTTGTTTGCAACTTTATTATTCTTGTTCATATGTCCCCAGCCTTCACACATTGCCATTTCAACCTACGACAGATGCTCAATTTGATACAAATTTTCGAAATGCAAAAATCCCGAGAATGAATTATAACTAGAAAATTTACTGCAAGTGAAAGCATATCGATTGCGAGGATATTAACTGGCTTCTTAATATCTTCCGCGATCAAAACAACTACTGCGAATTCCAACTGGGACTGAAAAAAATTCTATAAGAATTTATGAATTTATTTTCAAGACAGGTACCAATATTTAGTCATTCAGTGCAATACTTATTATAGCACGCAATCACGATGAAATGAAAATAACTTATTGACTAAATATACTAGAATAAAATTATTCAAAGGTAAAACCAAATCCGTGGTCCCAATTACCTAGCTTTCAAAAGCATCAGCTGAAGTGATAGAATTTTATCAGGAAATAAACCAAT